CAGTCCATTCGCGCAGGAACGTCCTGCCATCCAGATGAGTTTTCCCAGTAGCTCCTCTGGTGCTGGGATGAGATCCAGTGGAGGGGATCCAATCTCCATGGATATCTCGTCCTAGGTCTCACAGACCAATCAGGTAAATGGACTGGTATCTCAACATTGTTGGGTTGTAGTGCGAACTTGGTATTCATGTGCATGCTCATCTTCTGAAGAGAGTACTCCTGGTCCTTGCTGACTCTCCTTCCGCTCATTGTGCAACACGATTACTATCTCTCGTCATCTGTCTTGCCACACCATGTCTCCGCATTGATGGTCACTATACTACAGCTTATGGTCTCACTTGCCCAGGCTCCATCCAGTAAGGTGAAGGAGTCCATGGCTGGTAAGGCCCCTGCACTGGATGCTGACAAAAGGGTTGTCCAGGATAGAATGGATGAAAGAACTGCTGTTGTGACGGCACTTGTGCAACTGGCTGCTGGGGGTACTGATGAGCCCTTGGTACTGCCACTGAATTCAGCATGGTTGGTTGAAAAGATGGTGTCCCAAGCCTGTCATAAGTTAACACCGTTGGAGGGTGTCTGTCGCGAAGGGGTCGATGAATCTCCTCATCACCTGCATCTTGGGTTATGCCACTCACTTGATGTTCCATACTATCCAGTATTGGAGATGGTCCTACCTCTGTCATGGCTGACGTTGTAGTAGGTTGGGCAGATGGCACAGCTGGTGTAGTTGTTTCTACTCCTTCCTGGGGCTGAAGCATATCTGTATCCTCATCTGCATCATTGGCTGGAAACTGCAAGTCCCCGTGTTCCGAAAGTGCTGCATCCGCTGGGGGGACTGTTGAGACAGCTTGAGGGTACTCTGTTGTCGCTCCTTCTGCATAGCTGACTTTAGAAGGGTGGATTACAATGACTGGTAGATCATCGTCCTCATCCTCACTCTCTGCAGGTGGCGGATGTACGGCTTGGCTCTCATCAGGTGGAGTGTTGTTGAGTTGTCTGGGGGCAGCTTTGGGCTGTCTAGGCTGAGATTGCTGGGGTGAGGTATGAGTACCAACTTGACTGTTGTCCCCACTGATGAAGTCGCATGGCAACAGTAAGTTCCGGTGCAGTACCTTGCTCCTGCCCTGACCACTCTCGGGTTGGACCTCATAGACTGGGATGTCTTCACCCTTCTGGGTGACAACTCGGTAGATCCTGTCTTCCCAGTACGCTCGGAGCTTGGACGGGCCCTCAGCTCTTGCCAAATTCCTAACAAGAACTCGGTCACCTGGGGCTAGGATGGTACTCCGTGCTCTCCGGTCATAGTAAGCCTTGCTGCGCTGTCCTGTCTGGTGTGAATTTTGGGCTGCTACCTTGTAGGCTTCTCGCATCTCGTTCTGCCAGCATTGGGAATATTCTCGGCTGGTGACCCCATGTCCCTCTGGTCTTTCAAACCCAAAAGCCAGGTCGATTGGTAGGCGAGGATGTCTACCGTACAAGAGGTAAAACGGCGAGTACTCGGTGGTCTCGTGTTTTGTGCAGTTGTAAGCGTGCACCATCTTGTTAACTGCAGACTTCCAGTCGCTCTTCTGGGTCTCAGGGAGGGTCCTCAACATCCCAAGTAAGGTCCTGTTGAAGCGTTCAACTTGACCGTTTCCTTGGGGGTGGTATGGTGTCGTGCGGGAATTCGTTATGCCAGAGTATTCTTGCAGCCTGGCAAAGAGATGGTTCTCGAACTCACGCCCTTGGTCGTGGTGAAGCCTCTTAGGGAACCCGAACTTCAGGATGAAATCATTGAAGATTATGTCCGCTGCTGTCTTCCCGCTTTTGTTCTTAGTTGGGTACGCTTGGGCGAATCTGGTGAAATGATCCACCACCACCAGGATGTACTCAAACCCGCCCTTGCTCCGCTCCAGGTGGACATAATCGATGGAGACAAGCTCGAAAGGTTGCGTTGTGGTGATGTTGACAAGGGGCGCTCTGGTTTGTTTGGCTGGCTTCTTCTGGATAATGCATCGGCACACTTTTGTGATGTAGTGTTCGATCTCAGCTGCCATGTGAGGCCAGTAAAACCGCTCCCGAGCAAGATGGATTACTCTTTCTGGCCCAATGTGCCCGGCATGATCATGCAGCTCGGTGTAGACCAGTTGCTTGAACTTCTGGGGTAGGACGAGTTGTGTGCGCACACCAGTCTTCCGCCAGAGGATTCCGTCACCGTCTACCTGGAGCTTTCCCCACTCGTGTAGAAGTGATATGACTGTCGGTGCCTCACCTTTCCGTTCTTTGCGGGTTGGCAACCTTCCCAAGGTCCTGTAGTGTATTACCCTTTTGATGCCAGGGTCATCCTCTTGGGCCAACTTGATTTCCTGCTTACTGAACTGCTGAATGGGTGTCTGTACTGTTCCTGTGGTGGAGTCTTGGACGGAGAGTGCATGTGCCCAAGCTGTCTGGCCATTACACTGAGCCGTAATCCCTTGACCGGTTGCCTTCATCACATCTGGGGATACCGCCTCGGTGTGGACACTTTCCAGGTGCTCGACACTCTGTGGGATACGGGACAAGGTGTCTGCATCGCCATTGGCTCTACCCGGTCGGTACTTGATCTCCAAGTTGAAGTCAGCTAACTCGGCAACCCAACGATGCCCTGTGGCATTCAGTTTGGCTGTGGTGAGGACATAGGTTAAGGGGTTATTATCTGTGTATACTGTGGTGTGTTGGGCGTAGTACAGGTAGTCACGGAAATGTTCCGTCACCGCCCATTTGAGGGCAAGAAACTCGAGCTTCCCGGCATGCATGTGGTAGTTTTTCTCGGCTGCTGTTAGCGTCCGGGAACCATACCCGATGACTCGTAGTTTCCCATCTTGCTTCTGATACAGGACCGCACCGAGTCCATCTTGGGATGCATCGGTGTGTAGGACAAAGGGGAGAGAGAAGTTGGGATAAGCCATTACCGGGGGTCGCTGCAAACAGTCGAGGATAGACTCCAGGGCATCCTGATGGATTGTCTCCCATCTTATCGGTTCATTCTTTCGTCTGTGGGACCTGCTCTGTTTGCCCTTCAGGTTCTTGCGTTGATGGTGGTTTTTGGGAGCACATTGAGTCTCAGGTTGGCCTTGTTTCAGCAGATCGTACAACACTTTAGCACGTTTGGAGAAATTAGGCACATAGCGTCGGTAGTAGCCAAGAAGACCAAGGATTTGTTGGACCTCAGTGATGGTTGTTGGTCGTTTCTGCCTCAGGGCCTCAAGTACCGACGTCTCCTTTGGATCCATGCTATGGCCATCCGCTGAAACTATACGTCCTAGGTACTTTACTTGTGGTTGGAAGAGGGAACACTTGGCTGGTCTTAACTTCATACCATGCTCCTGCATGCGACGGAGAACTTTTCTCACCCTCTCGACGTGGTCTTCAAAACTTGTACTATAAATCAGAACATCGTCGAGGTAAACCATGCAGATCTCGTTGTTCATCTCATCAAGGCAGGACTCCATGTATCGCTGATACACGGCTGGTGCATTCTTGAGCCCAAATGGTATATGAAGCCATTCATGAAGACCCCAGGGAGTCACGAAGGCCGTTAGATGACGGCTTTCCTCTGTCATGAAACCCTGGTGATATGCCTTGCCTTGATCTAGGGTGGAAAACCAGCGGTTGCCTCCTAAGCTATCTAGCATATCTTGTATGCGTGGGATGGGCTGTCTGTCAGTGATGGTCTTCAGATTGAGCTGTCTGTAGTCCACACACAGTCTCAGGGATCCATCTTTCTTTCTCACGCAGACAACTGGAGATGAATAGCTTGAAGAAGACTTCTGGATCCATCCTCTACTTAGGAGATCTGTGATGTAGTCTTTTACTTCACGGTACAAGGGTCGAGGTATCGATTGATAGGTCCGTTGCACTGGGATATTATCGTTGAGTGTGATGCTCATTTGAAGTTTCTCGATGCTTCCCATGTCTTGTTCGTTCTGGGCAAATGCTCTGGATTCTTCCCGGAGCATCTTTGCTGCTATGACCCGTTGCTCCTCGGAAAGATGCTCAAGGTTGATGGGAGGGTCCCAGGTACTGTTACTGTTGAGGTTGGACACGCTTGCAGCGGTGCCTGCTTCCATCTTTGCTGAGGTTGTAGGTTGTAGAGCACCCTTGACTTCTGCGGGGAGTATTGATTTGATTGCCTGTAGAGTGCCAAGGCAGGTTCTTCTCCCAATGGTGACATCATGGCCAGTAGGGTTAGAGACAAGGATGTTGATGCGACAAGAGCTGCCTTTAGGGATTGTCACAACCGCATCACCTATCTCCAAGCCATCTGACCACTGTTGTTCTACATCAGCTTCGAACATCACTGTCGTAGATTCAGGTGCTCCGGTGTGAACACGGCATTGAATACTGGCACACGAACCTTTCTTCACAGTGACATCTCTCCTGCCTGTCTTCACCGTGCAGAGCTTTGATGATTCTGGCTGTTGCAGTAAGTTCACCAAAGCTTGCACGTTCTGCTTCCCAGTGGCAGGAAAGGTGTCCTCCATGGCTGCCAACAGTGATTTGGCTGAATACTCAGGGTCTCGCACTAACTCCTCCAGAACATTGGAGCCGATGATAGGGTTACTGAGGGGGTCACTTGTCACCAACACTGGAACCAATAAGGGCTGGTGGCTTCCAGTTGGAAGCTGAAATTCTGCTTCAATGTAGCCATCATACGGGAGCTGGGCATTATTGGCAGTCGTCACCATCAGGGTGTTAGTCTCAAGCAGGTCGGTCACTGGTCGAAGAACTGCATGAGGCATGTTCTGGCTGACCCATGAAGAAGACACAAGAGAAACCTGGGCGCCAGTGTCCCAAAGGGCTTTCGTTGCTCTTCCTCCTAGGTTGCACCGGATGGTACACTTTGGGCCGACTAGCTTGACTAACCTGGAGCCCTGCTGGGTGAGTTGTGTTGACAATGCCATGAGGGCTACACTCTCTGGCACATCTCTTCGGTGTGGTGGTTTAGGTGAATGGGGTTGGGGTTGATCATTTGGAATTGTTGGGGATTGTTGTGAGGTCAGGGCAGTTACGCATCCCCTCCGCTCGCCCTGCTGCCGTTTCCCGACTGCTTGGTCTGTCTCCGTTGCTTGCAGCCCCTTCTGAAGTGCTCAGAGCTGCCACAGGAGAAGCAATGGTCACACTCTGGACCCTTCCCAGCTTGACGACAGCTATTGCAGCCCCATTCGCGTGATGGAGGGTTTCTGCTGCCGCCTTCACTGGACTTGGGCTTCTCAGCTGCTTGCTTGTTGGAAACTTTGAGAGCAGCCACTTCTTGTTGAAGTTGCTTCATCAGGTCCAGCTGTTGCTTTTCCACGGCATTCACTTCCTGGACTTTCACGGCTGTCTTGGCCTTCTTCTGTTTGGCCAGTCTCACGATCTCCCTCCCTTCTGCAATCTTAAGTTGTCGAAAGAGAGATTCGTCTGAGGTGGTGGGGTCAAAGAGCAATGGCTTCAGCTCGCCTCGAATGTTGTCGTTTTGGAGACCAGTATTCAATGAGTGCAGAAACATGTTCTGCACCAGTCCAGGGTCATACTTGATGGTGGACTCCATCTTTGATGCCTTCAGGATCTTCTGTCGGAGGTCGAGGGTCCTCACCAAGAAATCGTGTGCTGACTCCGTACTCCCTTGCGAGGCAGACGAGAGTTCTTGGTACATTTCTGTGGCGTTCCCCTCTCTATAGTGCGCTTCAAGGATTTCCCGAAGGGTTGGCAAGGTTAGCCCCTCTTTGCTCTCCAGGTAGCTCCTCAAGCGCATGCCTGGGCTGATGGACCGGATGACAGCCTCTACAATCTCAACCTCCTTGTAGGATTTCCGCAAACCGCTTTCAATCTGCATGATGAGATTACTGTGGGAGAGCCGGTCCTTCTGACCAGGCTCCCCAACCTGGCCGCTGATTCGAAACTCCTTCTTCAGTAGGCCAACCATTTGGTTCACTGGTAGGGCAGGGGGGCTGGGGGCCGGTTCCGCTGTGGATGTCGAGCTTGACTCTGGGGTGGCTGGGGGGTCTGTGGAGGCGCTTGACGTTCCTGGAGTGATGGTCTTCAGGAAGTCACGAAGGTCTTCGAAGACCTTTTGACCTTTGTCCTCCATGTCTTCGATGGTCTCGCTGTTAAGGTGGCGGGTCAACCTCCGGATGAGGGCCAGGCGTGCACTTTCCTTGCTGGCAGTGTGTTCATCAACACCCAGCTTTGTGCACACCTGCTGTAGTTGCTCCTCCTGCAGGCAGCCAATCTGGCTGACTACACTTTGCTGCAATGCTAGCAGGGCCTCCATCCTCTCGTCTGCTCCGTCCTCAACTGCGTCACTGAATCAGGTCAAGGTGTCTCCCTTACTCCCGACGCCAACCGGTCGTCCTCACTGCCTCCTGCCGTTCCAGGGCACTATCTGCTGCCGGGAACGTTCACGAGGATAGCTGCCATGCAGTAATGCATTCACATGCATTTACCACGTCCTGGCAAGATCGCCAGATTTGTTACCCAGCTGTCATGTGGTAACGTTATTTCTATTGGGCAAAGACAAAATAGAACACTGTTGTAAGTACGTCTGGTCACTTTGCCAAAATATGTGAAAGTGTTTATTCAAACATCATAATAAACAAACAATGTACAAGAAAAAGGTTAAGTCAGTTTCCTAAATAACAACACTTTAAATCAGTATGGCCAAAACTATCAAACTTTAGGAGAACCATCACTTTAAAACTAATGGCCAACTACATGTACTATCTAACCTATAGGGGAAACTTAACTTAATAATCTCATGGCCACGACTACCAGAACTCTTATCTGCCATGTCTTAAAGATAAACACATTACTCAGGCTGGCCAGCACCCTTGTTGCTATAGCAACAGACTTTCCACTGTATGGCTCAACTCCAGCCAAGTCAATGGCCTGGGGCATACTACTGCTCCCCCAGTGCTACCCTTACTGTGTGACAGGTGGTCTTTCCATACTACACACACAAGCAAGTCATTGTTCTAGCTAGCCTAATTAGTATTCACTCTCCACAACCTGGCAAGGCCATGCTTCAGCTTATCTATATACACTCAGTGCTTGCAATGGAAGTTTCCTTGGCTAAATGGTGAAACTTACATTCAATGTCATAATCTACTAGCACAGTTTACTATAAAACATACATGGTCCAGTTTCTTAAATAAATGAAATCCAAGTTATCAACTTCACAAACTTTCACCAAACTTTCCTCAAATCCAGGAAACTTAGTGAAACTTTCCATGAATAACTGAAGTGAATAACTAAAGTTCAGTTGCTAAAAACTAATCAAACTTATATCATCTTAAATCTCATCCAAAGTTACATAAAAGTGAATATACAAACAATAATGAAAATATCTAAGCATCATAAAACAAACTTCAATCTTGTCAATCTCTAGATAACTTGGCAAAAGAGTAAAGTTGACAAATTCAAAGAACAAATTACCTTCAACCAATTGATCAACTCAAGTCATTGATTGTATACTCCAAGTAAATGAAAATGTGAACAACAGAAATAAAGGAACCTAGATGTGAATAAAAAGAAAGAAACATTTGTACATACCTATTGGGCAAAGACAAAATAGAACACTGTTGTAAGTACGTCTGGTCACTTTGCCAAAATATGTGAAAGTGACCAGGCACACTCACATGCACTCTGTGTTGTCTTTGGCCAATTCCAATTTTTTATGGGGGTGTTACTTTCTACAAAAACTTCACTCTAGAGGGGTTTTACTACAGAGGGGTTCTACAGACACCCTATGTTTGGCCAGACACCAGCACAGAGTCGCCTGTAGTCAAGGAAGAGTTTTCTGAAATGTGTGATTCCTCTTGAGGATGACACAACAAGCGAGGCACGAGTCACCATGTGGGCAGACAGAAACAATGGTTTGCCACCCTCGGCAACCATGGGGCTGATGGCTAGAGAGCAACTACCACCTGGTGCGGACGCAAGCTGGGCAAAGTACAAATGCTTTAACAGACTGAGAACTAGAGTTGGCAGAGCCAAGGTGACACTCAACAAGTGTGGATATAGTTCCAATGACACCATGTGTAATTGTGGCATAGAGCCACAAACTATGGAGCACCTTTTGAGATGCCCTCTTCCACAACACCCTTGCACATCAGCTGCCGATCTTGCATTGTACAATGAAGATGCAGAGAAATGTGTTCGGCGTTGGCTGAACCGAATTTAGCTTTGTGAAGTGGACTCGATAAGAAGTATTATTTTGCGTCATGAGAAAGAACAAAAAATTCACAAATAAGAACTTTATGCTCAAATTAATATGTAAAGTTAAACTAAAACTATCAATATAAGTATGATAATTAACTAGAACTAAAAATAAAGTGAATGCATAAAAGAGGTGAAATCAAAATTCTTCAAAGTCAAAGAATAGAAAATATCTGAACAAAACCAAGGCAACAACTGGACCTTTGTAACAATATAATCCGCAGAGGCTCTAAAGATAACTTACAAGGAATTCCTGAAATCAATAATGAGGTTAACAACATTTGACAGAAAACTCAATTGGACCAAAGCAAGTTTCTCAAAATATGAAGTCTGAGGAAAGCTAGAAAACTAATACAATAAGTTCTTAATACAATGTAAAATACACTTACCCCCAGCCTAGTCAATCAGGAGTTGATATATGGAGGTGGTTCAAACTGGAAACTTCTTTAATCTCATTAAGTGTGTTCTCATGACTGTGTTGTCCCTCCCGATACCGAGTGGTGAAAGAGTTTCATGACAAAGACTATGTACATAAGGGTCAGATGAGGACGCTATATATGCAAGGGCTATGTCATGTATGTGTAAATGGACTGTCGCATTTATCTTTACCATTACGTTTTTCCCCTCATTCTTTTTTAATAACAATTTGATCGAATGAAATAATTAATCTTGAAAACATGGCTCTAGATACCTTATTTGTAGGTTTGGAAGAATTTCTGTGGAGATACAAGAAATGTGAATTTTCTTAATCTGTCGACAGCTACCTCCAAGTTTGTGTTTTACCATCAAACTATTATTATTATTTTTTTTTTCTTACAGAGGAAGCAATCCATGATCCAGTGGTTGGGGCCCAAGGAGGAGCAGAGGCCAAGGATGTGATTGATCATGATTATGTTCAGCCATATCCAATTAAGGTCAAACCAGCTGATCTGGGAAGTCAAATTTAAGATTTTAATTCATACCATTGTTATCATAGGTGGGTAGCAGTTCTGTATGAGAAGTGGCCCATTTTTCCTCCCACTATGAAACACACAGCTGGTTTAGTCCAATTCCTCTTTTTCCCTCATTGAAGAGACTACTTGGCAACAGAATCATGGTGGGTAAACATTTGTGTGTGTACTTGTTGATTGTTGGGCTAGGTTAGTTTCTTAAACTGTTCCCAACTTCAATTGGGAACAGCTTTTGTTTTTGTTAATATTCCCCCCCCCCCGTTTTCTTCTTTGTTTTTTTCCCATTTACACATTTTTATTCAGCAAGAAAACGTCATGGTGGGTAATAGCTTAGTGGTTAAATTAACTTTATTTAATTCAATATATTTTGAAGATAACCGCAAAATTCTGTCATCGTGTCATCATCAGGGATCAAGTGACATATGAGACAGTCTCATAGTCTCCTAACTATAAAACTGTAAGACGGATGGCATCAAACTGTGTAGGTATAGACCGGGACGTGTTACAGTTCAAAAACTGGTATATGTGGAGGTGTTACCGGAAGTGTAAATTTGAGCCCATTATCAAATTTCATGAATTATCACTCGATAGGGTTAATATACTAGCTTAAAGCAACATACAAAGATGAAAAAATTGTATTATCGTGCAGTTTTTATTGTTCTTATGTTATGATGTGATGAATATTTAATAAGGCAATTTTGTGGCCACCATATCGGAACCATTTGATGTTATAACACCTCACCCACAGATTCTGTGTCTTGATTGGCCGAGAGCGAGTCACATGTTACTTTCTAATTTTGCTATCTTTCTGTGCACGGCCAAAAGTACTATGCGCATAGCAACCAAAGTACTATACCATTAGCAACCAAAGTACTGTTTCCACGGCGCGGTATTTGTGTGCAAATGCGTGCTGGTGTGCGCGTTGTGCGTAGCGCGTATTATTCCAAAGAGAGCGCGCCACAGACTTGGGTTCAAACATTTCGTGAAGGGTTAGTTTTTAAGAGAGAAAATACATTTTCCATCAATTTTGTATTGAAATTGAAGTTTATTTCGACTGTGTTCAGATTTAAATAATGTAAAAAATATTAAAATCAAGCAGAATCTGTGGGTGAAGTGTTATAAAACAAATATTGAATGCTTTATCTCGTGGTGAGGTAAAACTAGCCTCCCTCGGTGATCCATGGACCATTCTAATTTCCCTCGGCTTCGCCTCGCGAAAAAAAGAATGGTCCATGGATCACCTCGGGAGGCTAGTTTTACTTCACCCCTCGAAGCATTCAATATTTGTATATTATTCCAAAGAGAGCGCGCCGCAGACTTGGGTTCAAACATTTCGTGAAGGGGTAGTTTTAAAGAGAGAAATACATTTTCCACCAATTTTGTATTGAAATTGAAGTGTATTTCAACTGTGTTCAGATTTAAATAATTTAAAATATTAAAATCAAGCAGAATCTGTGGGTGAAGTGTTATAAAACAAATATTGAATGCTTTATCTCGTGGTGAAGTAAAACTAACCTCCCTCGGTGATCCATGGACCATTCTATTTTCCCTCGGCTTCGCCTCGGGAAAATAGAATGGTCCATGGATCATGTATATCAATAATTGTTTTACCTCTGTCTTGAATACTGTATTTTCCCATTGGCCTAGAACGATCATGTGTTAAGTTTATAAAAAGTTGTGGCACACTATGACTCTGTACGTACAGCGTGAAACACTTGTATGTTGTATCGTTGGTATCCACGCTATTTTCACCATATTTTTACACGAGTGGGAGCAGCGAACTAGCAGACAATCAGCTGTTTCGAGCACGCGACATGCACGCGAGTTGACTTTTTTTGTCATGATAGTTGTGATTACTGCCGTTTGTTTTGTGATTTTTACTTCCAAATCAAAAGAATCCAAGACAGAGGTATAACAAAACAATTGTTGACTGCTATGATGTGGGATATGACGTTTTGAACACCGAGGGGTGCTATTCAAAAGTCATATCCCACATCATAGCAGTCAACAATTGTTAATTATCAATCTACACGGTTGGTGATTGTTTTGATTATTAAAAAAACATTTAAAACAATTGGATTTATTTGATTTAACTCAGATTTATCAAATTTAAAGATATTGTTCAACATATTTATGTGTCTAAACTGTTTCTAAAATCCCCCCATGCATCCTTACATCCATTTCTGAGGACTGAGGAGTTTACATATTCCTATAGTACCTGTCATCCACAAAACTCAATAAATTGATAAAAGCTTAAGACAAAAATATCACTTGCTTTCATTTACGTGTAGTCTACATCATTGGTTTAATGGTACATTAATTCCAAAGACGCTTCAAAGGTGCACATGCTTCGAATTGATACAGCTGAGAAATGATGTTGTGTGTGGATATGAATGAAAAACATGATTTGTTAAAGTGTACATGGTATGCAAAAAAAGTACAAATACAGTTCTCCATAGGCATTTTGATATCATAAAAATGCTTCTAAATTTCAAAACCGGCAGCACTGATCCAAGGGCGGATCCACAACACATTTTTTGGGGGGGGGGGGGGCCAAAAAAGTTTTTGTTCCCCCAAAAAGTGGGTCCAAAATTTTTTTGGATTCTAGATACTCTGTGGTGCGATCTGAGGCAATTTCTGACCACTTTAACCATGTTTTTTTGAGGAAAAGATGGTGGTGTACTCATTGCCTGCCTTTATTGCAATGTCACATAAAAAGAAAAAAAAATGGTTTTGTTTGGGGGGGGGGGGCATGGCCCCCTTTGGCCCCCCTGGATCCGCCCTTGCACTGATCCTGGTGTAACTTATACTGTTTGATTGATGGTCCTTCATACAAGGTGGAGAACAGAAATTAGGCCTTGCACCTTTAAAAGGTATTATATAAATTTCAATCTCTGTATTTCTCCATAATATGGAGAAATGTTCGGAACTTTTTATGGAGAAACGCTGGGACTTTCATGCACCTTTAGATAGTTCAAGTTAGCCTACCCCAGCCTTGTGGTTGCAAAGGGCGATTTCAAAAGGTTGTGTAACCCTTTATTTTGAATGAAACTACATGTACACAGATATGTTCCCGTTGGTGGGTGAAATCTCTAGTTTGGAAGACCTTATCTTCATGCAACTTTCAGGATTTATTTCCCTTATAATGATCCAAGCATGTGCTAAAATCGTTGTGATATGTTCATTTCGGTGAAATTGGAAAAATAGGCTTGGATTAGTGCATATTTGAAAGTTGTAACACTGGCGTTTGCAATATCTGTCAATCTTTTTATGAGTTAATAATTGATAAATTTCACCCTTTTTGCCGGCTTCCATAGGTCAAGTTTGAAATTCAAACTTCAAAGATCAAGTTTTAAACTCAGATCTTGACTTTAATCAAATCAATAATTTTGGGTATTATGCAAAATATGTATGCAAGTTGAGTCAATGGTGATGAAGTAGGGGGGGTGGGTTTGAATGTGTTTACAACACCTGACACTTTGTAATTAAGTGGAATCAATTGATAAAAATGATTAAAATGACCTTCAATAAATTTATTTTGCCAAAAAAAAGATTTTCCCCCCCAAAAAAGAAAAAAAGATTTAACTCAGTGTTAAAAAAAAAAACCCATTTGATCAGTGATTTAATTCAGCCAACCCTGTCAACATATAAGCATGAACATTGAAAGAAAAAAATGCTGCATTCACATTACTAGCAGCCTATTGTTCTAATGTAATGATGTCATAAATATTTAAATTAGGCAATTAGATTAAATTAATCAGTAATTGCTTTATCTTTGGGAGATAGAGATGTTATAAAACAAACTTTGACTGCTTTATCTCATGGTGTAGAAATAGCCTCCCTCAGTGATCCATGGAGCATTCTATTTTCCCCCGGCTTCGCCTCGGAAAAAATAGCATGCTTCATGCCACCTCGGCAGGCTAGTTTTACTACACCACTCGAAGCAGTACAGTCAATAGTTGTATATTATATAGAAGCCTCAATAACGGGAAAAAAAACATAACAGTCAAACCTCTCAAGCAATGATCAGCTACATGTATCAGGCTCCTTGATTTAAACTTTATGTTTATGTTTCTTCACACTAGTATGCTCTTAGTTGCATGTTCAGATAAATATTGTAGAGAAGTACTGGCGTTGCGCTATTGCTATGAAAGTATCTTTAACTACTGACAATGATAATTTGAAAGCCAGTGAAATAAACTTTATAAAACGTTCTTCTGTCTGAAATGTTTTGATTGTGATGAAAATGTGCAATTGTTTTCCTTAAATTCAAACTTTTAAGAAGTTTGTTTTAGATTTTAGTGATTGTCCATTGAATACTTACCAATAACACATTCTAATGAAGCAAACCATCAATTGTTTGTCGTATTTAAACTAAAAAAAATAATCTACTGCACATTTAAATTTGTGATATACAATCAATGTGATCTGCAGAAAAGGGGTGAAAGTTTGTTTAACAGGATTGTTTTGCGCAATTGCTAGCAGCAGGTTTATTGAATAGTTTTTCAATGCTGTACATGTCAAACGTTATAGTCCATGACTATTGTTGATGCATTTGATAGAAGTTTCTGTGTGCTTAGGGTTTTATGCTAAGAGGGTGCACTAGCTGCTTTGTTTATACTAACCCTCTTGTATTATACAAGTGTTCAGTTATTTGCTTTTATCGTGGAAGTATGAAAAGACTTTTTGTGAAACATGCTTGCAGAATAAATCATGATTGTTGAGTTCACACAAGTCCGAGTGTTAAGCCTTTACATTTCTTAAAGGAGACAAACTTAAAGTTGTTAAGGAAACAACACTTATGGTTCCTTTATGAGTACCCCTCCAAGCATTACAACAGAGACTTATGGGCGAGTCACTGAAGGCAACATTACATGTAGTTCATGAGCATGCATAATTCTATGGGCTATAGACACTTGCTTAAGTACCTCCTCAACAGTTACATACGAAGAGTTAAGCCCGGTTCATACTTCACATGAAAGCGAAAGTGAAGCGAAATTCGTGACGTCAATAATTGCTGACAACATGAATTTCACTTCGCAGGTGAAGATGGGCTGAAGGGGAGACCACTCCGGACAGTTTTCTCCGGACAGTTGGTCTCCGTAAAATTAAAAAGCAGGGGGGGGGGTGACTGGGGGGGGATGACTGGTACCACTTGTTGATGAGGGTGCTGTTCAAAACCGATGATTAAGCACACTAACGGACAGGGCAATACATGTGTGAAATTAAAAAAAAAACACAGAATGGCCGCTGGTACAAAAAAGGGCGACCGCCCCCCCCCATGAAACCTTGTCGCCCCCCCCCCCCCCCACTGAGATTTTGAGTTTCTAAAAAAATTATCATTGATCTACATGACGCCATGGGCGTCAATCCTGGGGGGACAGGGGGACTGGTCCCCCCCCCCACTTTTTGAAGGGTGGGGGACACAATATCAAATGTACCCCCCCCCTCCCAGATTTTTGAACTTGTGTCTTATTTACAGGGCCCTATTATGTACTACAACGTATCTTTTGCTTAGAAAATATTGGTTAAAGTGGTCAGAAATTGCCTCAGATAGCACCACAGAGCATTTAGAATCCAACATTTTTCGGGGCCCTTAAGCGGGCCTTGAACCCCACGCCTATAGCTCAGAATTCTGGTAGCTGATTCAATGACTCCAACCTCGAAAACAATGTTCACAAAATTTTCTTATGCCTTTAGCTGAGAAAACCTCGAAATTATGTTTAAATTGTTATCTTTTTTGCTAAGATTATTATTGGTTATAGTGGTCAGAAATTGCCTCAGATAGCACCACAGAGCATCGAGAATCCAATTTTTTTTCGGGGCCCTTAAGCGGGCCCCGAACCCCACGCCAATAGCTCAGAATACCGATAGCTGATTCAATGACTCCAACCTCGAAAACGATATTCAAATAATTATCTTTAGAAAATATTAGTTAAAGCATGGAGGAAAGTGGTAAGAAATTACTTCAGATCACACCACAGAACATCTAGAATCCAATTTTTTTTGGGGGGCCCTTTAAGCGGGCCCCGAACCCCCATGCTGTAAGGGCTTCGCGCTTGCATCAGTTCTGATCAAGGTATGTCCCCCCCCACACTTTTGAGAAGTGATTGACGCCCCTAAATGACGCCCCCCCCCATGAAATGTTCCAGCGCCCCCCCCCCCCCCCCCACTGAAAAATTCCTGGCTACGCCACTGTAACTGTTGAATAGTATTTCTTATAACACCTCACCCACAGATTCTGTGTCTTGATTGGTCGAGAGTGAGTCACATGAAACTATCTATTTTTGTTATCTTTCAGTGCACGGCCAAAAGTGCTATATCCGTAGCAACCAAAGTACTAAACCGTTAGCAACCAAAGTACTATTTCCACGGCACAGTATTTGTGTGCATATGCATGCTGGTGTGTGCGTTGCGCGTTTTGTTCAAAAGAGAGCGCACCACAGAGTTGGATTCAAACATTTCGCGAAGGGGTAGTTTGGAAGAGAGAAATACATTTCCCACCAAGTTTGTATTGAAATTGAAATTATTTCAACTGTGTTCAGATTTAAATAATTTTAAATTTTATAGCCAAGCAGAATCTGTAGGTGAAGTGTTGTAAAACAAATATTGAATGCTTTATTTCCCTCCGTGATCCATGGAGCATTCTATTTTCCCCCAGCTTCGCCTCGGGAAAATAGAATGTCCATAGATCACCTCGGGAGGCTAGTTTTACTATACCACTCAAAGCATTCAATATTTGTATACCATTTCCCACGGGCGAATGGGACTTTTTGGGCCCTAGGAGTAATGGGTGTAATAACGAATGTCACGTGATGTGAGTTCCACCAATCCAATGACAAGGATCTGTATGTCGGATATATAATACCTTTTGACATCTTTGGTGGGCCAAGATAATGGCCCAGCCCACAGACACTTTTTGGGGACGGAGTAATTGAACTGAATCAAGCTGTGGAATGGCCTCCCAGGTCACTGTATTTCAATAGAGAACAAAGTTTTCAGCAGTCCACTGCTCTAACCTTCAGTTATCACAAGGTGGACAATTTACGTGATCAACCTGCAAGACAAGATCAACCTGGTGAGACAGGCCATGGAAGGTATGTGACCTGAAATGGCATAATGAGGAATAACTCCCATTCTTGACTTTTTGAGGTTTATTATATAAAGATCAACTCTGTAGCTTTCTAATGCTACCAAATTTATTTCTGTAGCTCAATTTATGTCAAAGATATGCCGTGAGAAATTCAGTAATGCATCGCAAACTTATGCAACCATAATTTTGAGAAAAACAGCTTTGAAAAAAAGTTGTGCATCGCAATCATATTTGTGCGACGTGTACGTACATAAGTATGTGGGACGGTTTTGTTATATTAAAACACTTTCTGAGTGAGCGCGCTGTAGGCATGCGCTCACAGATTTGATCAGTGCTGCAATACATCACGTATCAATGTCAACAAATCTTACAGCGCATGCTACCCCATTACTTTCACTACATAGTAAAGCCCCGCTAATACACAGTCATCCGCCGAGCAGCTGGGCGTTTTGTTTATCATCTTCCACAGCTGATCATGCATTGATAGGCCAGTATAGACTGATGTTGCTGCTATAAATACATAGAGTAGGCGATGCGCTTTTAAATCTATTCTCTAGAAATTTCACGATAAATTTGGGACATTTTGTTCAGAAGAAAATTACTGACAATTTTCGAAAAACTTTACACAAACACAATTTAGAAATCATAATTTTTTCCCCCACTTTATATCTTTTCATAACCAAAATGCAAAGCGTGAATCTTGAATACCTTGGCTGCTCAAAAATGACCAAAACCCCCAAAATCTATTGTGGATTTTTTTCTCACATAATCCAACTTCAGGCACAGATTACTCAAAACATTTTGCCACAGTAGGTCACAGTAAGTCACATACTTATGAGCTTGCTGTTAACTTTTGTTTGTGGAGTGCTGTGGCCTTGTGGTTCAGGACTTCAGGGCACTGGATTCCTGGTCTCTGGGTAAAGCTGCAGGTTGTGGGTATGAGTCTAGCCCGGGGTCATCGTGCGTGTGCCCTTGGTCAAGGCACTTTGTCACTCATTGCTTCTCTCCACCCAGTAATAAATGGGTACCTGTGAGGGCAGAGATGGTTATTGTGTTTGAATTAGCTGCCTTTCGCCTAACAGGCTGCATCGAGCTGTATACTCCCCAGGGAGCTGAGATGGTATTTGGAATGTTTAATAGGCCCAATGATCAGGGGTAATAATAATGTAAAACGTTTTGATGTTGGTTAAAAAGCATTATATAACCGACATACAGATCCTTGTCATTTGATTGGTGGAACTCACATCACGTGGCATTTGTTATTGCTCCCATTCATGCCGCAGTTCCATGGGGAATGGGAAATACTATTGAACAGTTAGGATTATTCTTGTTCCATTATGCGGTATTTGTGTGCAAATGCATGCTGGTGAGGGCGTTCAGCATTGCGCATAGCACTTATTGTTCCGAAGAGCCAGCGCTACAGCGTTGGGTTCAAACATTTTCATGAAGGGGTGGTTTGGAAGAGAGAAATACATTTTCCTCCAGTTTTGTATTGAAATAAAAGTTCAAATGTATCAAATGACAAGGATCTATATGTCAGTTATATAAAACAAATATTGAGTGGCTTTAAATTGTGAAATGGGAGGACTTTTCCAGTTCACTCGGCTTCGCTCCTGAAATGGAAAAGTCCAGATTTTACCTTGCGATAATATTCCTCCCATTCCAAGCTGAGCCACTCAATATTTGTATACTATATAAGAACCAGTTATTATTATTAAGGGAATAAATGTGTGCTCGAGAGGTTTTAATCACTCTGTTTAAGACTGCTTAGAGTGTTGGGTAATTATCAGCACCCAGACTCTAAGCGGTCTTAAACAGAGTGATTAATACTGACCGAGCACACATTTATTCCAATTCATAAATACCTTTTTGGTCAAAAAAAATAGTATTTTGGTCAAAAATCCCGATTTTGTTCAACAAGTTCACTTCATGCTTTTTGAAACATCCCTCTAGCTAAATAATGGAGTGTTCAGCTGGCGATTAAGATGTAAACAACCCTTTTATGGAGATTGACGCGCGCGTGGCACGTTCTGTGCGATGTTGCGCAGAACGCACCTGGGGCATTGTGTTTTGAATTTAGAACTATAAAATTCTGACTCACTGGTAGTGTTTATGTGACACTGGAAAAGTGTTTAAGACCAGCTAGCCATGTCTTTATCATCTGTTGAAGACTGGCCATGTGACGGGCTCTAGACCAATAGGAATGGCTAAACTGTCTGAGGTATTTATGAATATTATTTAAAAGGGCAGGTGGACATGTGGAAGGTGATACACCTGGCTAAGGTGCTGAATGCTGTATGAGCAAGCTCACCTACCTGCCGTACATCTGGATTTGTTCAGGCTTTACACCCAAACTGTCACAAGGTTTTCACATACCTTGATATCATTGGATAGCACATGAGCATGCAAATCCCAATTGCCGGCTAGTTTAGGCCTATGCATGTTTAACTTTATTGGTGCATTTTGAAATCGAATATTCGATCAAGTCCAAGTTGGAATAACTGAATATTAAATCATGCAAAAATGCACAAACCTGTGTTCCTTTTTCAAAGGTGACTTTAATTACTGCAAGTACATGAAATGTATGTAGTCTATGGTAAATTAATTACCATTCCTAATAGTCAAGTGAAGAAACTGACTTTGTTGAAAAATTTCCAGCAAGAAAAATTAAAATCTCTCTACAAATTAAAACTCTGATATAAATCTTCCTTAATCCTTCCTGCCTCTGTCGAGCAGTTACCCAATTACACATTCTTTCTACTACAAATTTCAAGGGGCATCCCCATGTAAAATAATAATGGCTAGGCTCTACCTTCTTCAATCCTTCATATTTCTCCAGGCAACTTTGAAGGACATGTATCTGCAACCTGCAAATGTTAGGGTTAATTAGGTTAGTATTTTTTCCCTTGCAAAACTCGTACCAACACAGCATTAAAACATGAAAGTGAATACTCACTCAAACTCGCTTCAGCTTTCCAAGGCCTATTGCTGATCATTCTATTTTGTTAATGGGAAATTTTTTGTGACGCGTCAAATTGAATTGAAACTCTATGTCCCAGTTTTCTTCATTTGAGATTAAAAGCAACATTAATAATGGAAACATTTATGAGAACATAATTTAACAATTCATGTAGATAATTTTGAAGGTTGATATGGTGAAGTAAGCAATAACAGTAAATTTGCAGAAGCACCATGTAACAAATCTCCTATTGTCTGTTTCCTGACAATGGGCAGAGCATGCTGTCCAAAATGTTGTGTTTCCCCAGTTCTTTTCAGAACCTCACAATCTCAAAACAGAGATTGGTCACATGGCACAAATACAACTTTAATCTTAATTCATGTGGACATAAAATAATCAGGTACGTACAATTAAAGGGAAAACTCATGAAACCTAATTAACAGTCAAGTACATGTAATACTTCTAAAGGCCAGTTCAAATTCTGCATGAAATGAACACAAACACAAATTTGTGACATTAGGGCAAGTTGAACACAAAAGTTGAACACATTTCACCTCTGGCAAAATTTGCAGCGAAAGCTTCTTGACATCTCCTTCGCATAGCATTCTCATGTATGAAAGTATGAACCGGCCTTAAAACAAACTGTAATAACAACTGGCTTTAAATAGTAAGATCAACTGGAATGTCACCAAATTGGCCAGGGACACTTGTGTAAACCCCAACTCTCTAGTTTTACTAAAACTAACAGACCATGTCCGTCAAAATCCATCAGTCACTCTGCTTCACATGATGCTTCAGGACCAAATTCGTTGCAATCAAACACTGGTGCTGATGGATTTTGATGGACTTGGTACACATGTTTTATCTGCCAAAATAGTCCAAAATGAAGGGATGGACTTTGATGGAGCGGTTAAGGCACAGGTAGATCTGTCAACTTATGTGGGTCACACACACATACAACACTTGTCAAAGCTATAACAAATGTCAACACAATGTCAACACTGACAGTTGAAGTAAACTAACCATAGCCATCAGCACCTACAGTGTTCCAGATCGCAATGGTGGTGACACCAATATGACTCCATCTCCACGGACAAACAGCATAGAAATATTTCTTTTTGTGGTCTACAGAAAAAAAGAAGACAGACAGAGAATACATTATTTAACTGCATTGTAGGGAAGCCTAATTGTGCCAAGCCTGATTGTGCCAAGAAATACCGTATTTGTTATTGCAAATAAACACAGTATACCGGTACATGTACTTTGCTGAATAAAAACAATATCACTGTAAAAAAAGAAAAAATACTTTGCACAAGCAATGCAATATTTTGTGAATGAACAAAGTACTTGTGCAAAACAAAAGCAACATTTTTATGAAAAACAAAAAGTACTGAAATTGCAAATAAATGGAACAGTTCTGCCACTAAATGCACTACTTTCGTGTGTTTGAACCTTGAGTATGCAGAGTGGACATGAATGTGCATGTACATCTTTGTACATGCAGTGGTACAGGAATCATCTCCATCTGTGTGATTTGTCCCTATTGCATCTAGGTAATATTATATCAGCCAGGTGCTCGTTTCTTTCTGTTTTGTTTTTCATCAATTAAATTTCCAGAAATGGTATCTAAACAAAACAAATACCCTTCAGTGCCGGAAGGGGAGGGAGCACAGTTATTCAGGAGGATAACCTTCCCCAGCTCATAGAATTCACAAAGTCCAAAGGGTTTGTCCAATCTAGTAAGATAACTCTCTGTTTACCTACATGTACCGGTACAGTAGCATATCAGCGTGCAAGTGCACAAAAATTGCTATATGAAAAGGCCCACAAGCCATACCCTCTGCTCCTATTGCACGTCCCTCGCAAGGTACTGTAACACAAAGAGATGTCCTATTTTTTTTAAATTTTTAAATTAAACACAAAAAAAAATCATAAATGGGAGGGATGGTAAACAGAGGTGTTTTCTTACCAGAATGGGTAATCCTTTTTTTTTGGAATTCCATTGCAGAAAACACCTCACCTCTGTTTACCTCCGTTTGCAGAGTGGCCCCAAAGAGTTCTAGGGAGGGAGGGACATGCAAGTGATTCAACCTGTGGAAAGAGCATCGGCAAGGACATTCTTTCTGGCTAGATGGATCACTTGAAGGGAGATTGTCATGGAATGCACCATCTGAGTAGCTCCAAAGTTGTAAAGCAGTGAGACAGAAGGTGATTTACACTTGACGGTTGACGTAGGACTTGTCCATCCTTACCAAACCAAGCTTTATTAGAACTCTGGTTTTGAGCGACTGCAGGGCTTTAAGCACTGCAACAAGCTCCAAGTGATAGATTGACTGTCTTTAATGTGACCAAGTACCAGGCATTGAGAGGCCATCCAGATAAACTCTCCAACCCTGCCCGAGGTGTCCATTGTGAGGGTAGATGATGCAGAGGGTTGAGAAAAGACCACCCCACTTTAATAGAGGACATCAACAATATGTATGTATGTATTTCCACAAATTAGAGAAAAGCTGTGAAAACTGGAAACATTTACACTCGAGATTCGAGACTTGGACTTAACCTTTGTGACTCGTGACTGAGACTCAGATTTGACCTGCATGACTCGGGACAAATACCTTATAGATTTCCTCATAAGTCTCTTCATCTATCTCCATGGTTGTTACTGTCTCTTCTACATCACCGAGGATCATGTTAAGATGTTGGTCATATGCCTGACAGGTAGAAAAATATATACACAAATAATAATATAAATGTAATAATGTCAATGAATGTAACATTTGCAACCCAAAGGCATTAACAAAGTTCAATTCAATTGTTTATTTTATATAGCTAAACTGATCCATTATCTGATGTCCAATACCGATACAGCAACTATGACCCTCTCTTTAATTTCCATTTGCTTGTTCTAACAGAGACACTGGCTGGCTGGTACTCTATCTGGCATCCCCTGCTCCAGCTAGGACTCCACAGTTGCATTCTTCAAAAGCTTCACTGCTGCCAGTTCCACTGTGTAACACCCCCTCAATGTTGGAATCTCTCAGTTCCCTGAAGACGGGTACTAGAGTATACTGTCTGGCAAAACGTTACATTTCCCTGGTTCTTTTCAGAACCTCACAAACTCACAAAAGAAATTTGTCATGGTGCTACTGGTACCATAATCTTATCTTATTGCAATCAATTAATTATCCATTTGTTTATCTCAAATACATACATAATTATATACCACATCTGCTAATTCACTCAACTTCATATTGTCATATTGTCATTGTTTTGTGTAGGTTATTTATGAATTAATCCCTATCAATGATCTCAGAATAAATATCCTTTTTTTTTGCTTTACTGTTGGGAAGTCATTGTACATGTAAGTGATTAACCCTTACCCTACTTGACCCTCCAATGCATGCCAATATGTGCCTCAAGAAAATCTCCTATGTTTTTTGCATGGCCCTCCAATATCTGCCATGTCATTTCAAGGGTAACTGGACAGGCACTCCAATACATGCCACAGAGAACAATGAGAGTCCTCTGATAACAAAGTGAGTGCCCCCAGCTGGTCAGTATCAGGCACCCTCCAGGGCCTCCAACTCCTGCCAATTGGAGCCTTCACTGTTAAGACTTGTTATCTGCCAAAAAACTGCAGCTGGAGGGCATTGGCATAACCAACTGACATGCAGTAAACTACCCTCAGAGAGTAAGGGTTAATAAAAGAGTGAGTGAATGCGAATAGATCCTGTACAAACACGCTGAATTGCATTGACAAGATTTCTATTGTTTTAGCCACTGTGACCTTGACACTTGACCTTTTGGCCCCAAATGCAATAGGCTTCTGAGGATTACCAAAGAGCAATCCACAAACCAAATTTGAAGTTCATGTTAAGTATTTCTCAAGTTATCGCGCTGACAACATTTCTATTGTTTTAGCCACTGTGACCTTGACCCTTGACTTTTTGGCCCCAAATGCAATAGCCTTCTTAGGATTACCAAGAACAATCCACAAACCAAATTTGAAGTTCACATGTTAAGTATTTCTTAAGTTATTGCGCTGACAAGATTTTTCAGGACACACACCCATCCACACATTTCTTTTACCTACGCTACATTCCTTTATTTTCGTGTAGTTAAGAAAACTTGGTACAAAAAGTAACTTTACTTAAAGGGAATATACATCATTTGCTTTTGCTGTAATTTTCAGAAATGGATGGAATTGGGGGTTTGGAAATATAAAGCAAATATAGCTACACTGAATTTTTGGAGGTTTTGGGTTCGAAAATGCTATAAAAACCAAGAAAAACGATCATTTTCCTGTAGTCTGGTTCCCTGACTCCATATAAGAAGAAACAGAGCAGTTTACATACATTGGGGAATTGTAAGGTCAGGGAACCAGTCTAGCTGGCTCGTACCCGTTCATAGGTTTGTAATCGATTGCAAACAAGTGCAATGGTAAATTGGGGCCAGTATTTGAAAAAAAAGCCAGTTGTTTCCAACGCTGATCGGCCGATCAGCGTTGGAAATTGATACAAAAATAACACTTTTCTTGAAAATGACAGTATACCAGGTGCCATAATTTTACAGGATGCTTTAGACTGTCATTTACCAACATCCTATTAAGGTATTTCGCAAAAACTTGGTAGCTTTATTTTTCGATGTTTGCAAATGTTGTATATTCCCTTTAAACTGTAAAAACTCTTTCAACCCCCAATTTTTTTTGATTTCCTTGAATGTTTCTCTTCATTCTGTGACGAATAAACCTACCCCAAAAGTGCCTCTAGACCTGTTTTCCAGAGAGGGTGAGACGTTATGTGGACACGGCTTGGTCCACATAACATCAACACAACCTGCATTTTGTGGACATCTTTTGTTCACATGTCCACATAGTGACTGTAAGACCAACTCACACACACACACACACACCCACGCACCACCCACAGAAGGACAAGGCGGAAACAGTTTGCCCCTTCTTGGCTCGGCTTGGCCGCGGGGCATAAAAAACACTGATTTCACACATGTAGGCCTACATGTACATTGTATGAATATGCTGTGTCTTTGCACTATTTTTGAATGCCCAATTTCAAAATGACTTGCGCACAAAATCAGCAGATATCCAGGAAAACAAATTCTGCTTTAAAAAAAATATTTGCAAGGCTCAAATAAATTTCACTGTACCGGGTGAAAAAGTGTAAACCTTGAAAGATCATCTTCTCACAATCTACATTTGAAATGAAAGTTACCGTAAGCACAGAACTTTCTGCTTCAGTAAACAGGGATATTTCGCTATTAAGCAGAGCCAGGAAATTGGGCCCTGGTCATGTCACTTCTAGTGTGTCAACTCAAGTATTTTCAATCAAAACAGATTTCCACCTCAGTAATGAATCTTGTAAACTATCAACAATTTCTGAAAAATTTTAACATTGATAATGTCTTCATCTTCATTGACCCTTGACAAAAGCAGTGCTACAAAACTGGGCCCAGGATGTTTCTCTCTTTTCAACTGTTCAGTGGGGTACAAGGCACATAGTTCAAAGGTAGTTTATATTATAGGTTTCAATGTGCACTACATTTCACAATTCAAAATCACCAAACTTTGAACTTTCACTGACACGGTCAGTAAAGGTCAATACCAAGGATGTGACTTTCCATTTAATTTTGCATACATGTACATTTAGCAAATATTTTGAGAACCATTTAAACGTTTAAATGTTTAGCCAGTCACAAAGGCCGACGCCTGCCTATTATGTCAGCAGACCAGCGTGATTGACAAGATAAAACAACGAAACGAAACCGAACTACATATATGTGTACTTTGAATGTAATCAAGTAGTGTGCAGTGCTTCTAAGAGTTTGTAAATAAAATAGGTTTGAACAACTTGTGCCCCGTAGGTTTATTAAACTCAAAGGAAGAACACGTGAATGTAGGTCCCTCTTTTACAAATTTGGTTTTGTTTAAATGTTTTGGAAAATTTGTAAAAGGATTTAGAATTGTTTTCTTTGAAACGTTTACATGTATATTAACTTCACATCCTTAGTCGTGTTAGTCAATACTTACATTCAAGCGGCCTTTTAGTTCTCTGTCATTCCTCATCTTGACATAAATGCGTTCATCCAGGCTAAGCCGAACAAGATCCAAAGGTTCTTCCACAGTAGTGGTTGGCCCTTGCTAAATATATAACATGCAATACAAGAAAAAAAGTACAATCACTAAACAACAATCAACAAATTCTTCACAATTCATGCAGTACCAGCAGAACAAACCCTGCCAAGTACATGCATGACAACATACATGCACAGGTTTTAATACATGTTATAAAGAATATCCATGTATGCAATTTTTATACAATTTTGATAAATGGTTTTGAAATTAAAAAAGTTCAAATGTCTTTGGCGTGCAGCTAGAGGGTGCCCTTTTGGGTGATGATGTCATCATGCATTTTGTTTGGCGGGTTTGGCATCCTTCACTATAATTTGTTTGATTATAGAAAAATGCTTCCTTTAATAACCCGAACCCCATAGGCCCTTGTTGCTTACAACCATCCTCAATCCCCCAAAATTTTGCAACTCCGCCTAAATTTTTCAAAATTGTCAGACAGTCCTGCCTCAAAATCCATTCATCCTCAATCCTCCAAAATCCTCCTCATCCCAAAACTTTGCACTCGTGTTTAAATGTTCAAAGGATAACCAACGCCAAATCCTTCAAAATCATCAGACAGTCCTGCCTCAAAATGCATTCATCCTCAATCCTCCAAAATCCTCTTGTGCTTCATTCACCATTCATCCTCAATCCTCCAAAATCCTCATGTGCTTCAATCACCATTCATCCTCAATCCTCCAGAATCCTCATTTGATTCAATCACCATTCATCCTCAATCCTCTAGAATCCTCCAAAACTGCCAGGAGGATTTTGGAGGAGTGAGGTGGGTTAGGGTTGCACTTCTAGTAACAATGGAAGTAATGACCAGAAGTAAAAGTCAAACAGCTGTGTGCATGTAAATCCAAAATACTGGTATTGTCCGAGGCAATGTGGGGGCTGTGGTCCAATGGTTACGGTTCTGGAAGTAATGACCAGAAGTAAAAGTCAAACAGCTGTGTGCATGTAAATCCAAAATACTGGTATTGTCCGAGGCAATGTGGGGGCTGTGGTCCAATGGTTACGGTTTCTCGACTTGTGTGCCGTGGTACATGGGTTCGAATCCTGACAGGGAACACGGTCCTTCCAATGGGACGTAAAGCCGTAGGTCCTGTGTTCATGTTGTGTGTAACACATGTAATGCACGTTCAAGAACCCAGTAACATATAGGCCCCCCAACAAATTAATTCTGCTTCCGATATTACATGGCATTCAAAAATAGGGTAGGTAGGTAGGGAATTTTTTTTTTTTTGGCCATTTATTTTGTTTTATTTTTTTTGGCCATTTATATCTGCATGTACTCAAGGGTAAAATGTAGAAATCAATGGTTTTGGGTGTTTTCTTCTAATTTTGCCCATAAACAAAAATTTAAGGTAGGGGATGTCAGAATAGGGTAGGTAGGGAAACAAGAAGCAGAACTATTTTGTGTGTGTGTGTGGCCTTATCACTATAAAGAGTTTCTGGCAGTGGCTGCAATATGCGCCGCAGCACCTTGTATACCCTTTATAAAGGTGCTGCACAAATGGGGCTCATACATGTACCGGTATTTCTCACAAACCTCATTTACCTGAAAACAGACATAATTACAGTACCAGTGCCTTGAGTACTTAAAGGGAATATATATCATTTGCTTTGATTGTAATTTTCAGAAATGGATGGAATTGGGGGGTTGGAAATATATAGCAAATATAGTTACACTGACTTTTTTGAGGTTTTGGGTTCGAAAATGCTATAAAAACCAAGAAAAACAATCATTTTCCTATAGTCTGGTTCCCTGACTCCATATAAGAAGAAACAGAGCATTTTACATACATTGGTGAATTTTAAGGTCAGGGAACCAGTCTAGCTGGCTCGTACCCGTTCATAGGTTTGTAATCGATTGCAAACAAGTGCGATGGTCAATTGGGGCCAGTATTTGAAAAAAGCCAGTTTTTTCCAATGCTGATCGGCCGATCAGCGTTGGAAATTGATACAAAAATACCACTTTTCTTGAAAATGACAGTATACCAGGTGCCATGATTTTACAGGATGCTTTACACTGTCATTCACTAACAGTCCAGCAAGGTATTTCAAAATGATTTGGTAGTTTTATTTTTTGATGTTTGCAAATGTTGTATTTTCCCTTTAATTGTTGGTAGATAAGTGCACTATATAAGACTTTGTTATCATTATTATTAAATTATTATAATTTCCACCACATTACAAAAAATTAGAACATTATTACATTGTACCGGTAGTTCAAAGTAATTTTCAAATATTGACCTTAAATTGCTTGTAATTTGATACCTGATGACGTCACAAAATTGTTTGCATTTTCGGAGCAGGCTTTACACAATGTACGTTTATACCAAGTTTTATCTTGACCTACCGTACATTTGTATTTCGAAGAAGTTAGGTTTGTTTTAATTTGGAGGCATCCTTGGGTGTTTTGATTTCACCTAACTTTGACCTTCCAGTAATCCTGGAGGTTGGGGTCAAGCATTCAGGTACTCAACAAACAATGTCTATCAATATCAGATCACAAAGTATGAACATGATTCATTTTATTTATGAGTTCAAATGAATGAAGATGATCATTTTTGGCACATTTTTTTTGCACGAAAATGGCACATTGGGCACAGTGCAGGAAGTAACATGTCCCTTTTAGCTGAAGAGTTTGTGTACAAAATGTACATCGTGCGTGTTCAATATGCATGTGCGCCAAGTTTGCTTGAAGATAAATTTGTTATCCCACTCGCACTCATGGAACATGGAAAATGTAGTGCCTCTGCGTCCCACTTACACATACATGTACAACTCGTGGCATGTGGGACACAGCTATAAATAGTAATAGGTATTTGAGCTTTACCATTTTGCATCAAGGAGGGGAATTTCGTGTTCAACGGTTTCAGTGAACCCAATATCTTGCAGTTTCTGGAGAAGACATACCCGTACTTATTGGCTTTTCTCATTTTGTTTCCTTGCTTCTTCCTCTTCTTAGCATATTTTATAGATTCTATATTTATAGCAAAGTTGTGTCCTGAATAGTAACATCATGATGTTGTGATCTTAAAGGTACATATTTTTAAAGGCCTATATCTAAAGAACTGTAAGTCCAATTTTGTATGTAGGGATGTGTTATACGCATAAATTGAGTTGACGTCATGATGACAGGGGAGTCAGGTTGCATAACGGTACTTTCCTTGCCTATCCATCGCTGTGGACCCGTTCGATTCCCGCCTGGCCAATATGTGGATTGGGTTTTCAGTCCCTGCCTGATTCCGTGGGTTTTCTTCAGATACTCTTCTGGGCTTTTTCTCCCACCTCTAAAACTGTAATTTTCTTCTCACTGTCTTCTCTTACTGGGACCGCATGGGAGACCAGTGGATTCCACTGAATGGGCTACCCAGTTAAAATAAGAATACATAAATAAATGACGTCATCGAGTGGTTTTATATGGATTTTGATTTTATTTAACCTTTAAGCCAATCGCATCAATAGAAAGGTTAAATTCAAAATTCTTTTTGTTATAGGTAGAGTGTATGTTAGGATATGTATTTGCACAAAAATACAATAAGTGTGTGATGTCATGATGACGTCATCAAAAACTCTTTTTTAAAATCACGTTTAAGGCTAAGTCCGATTGTCTTGAAACATGATCAGTAGGTATCTACACTAGTATACAAAATGGGGTACGGTACGGTACAAGCGAAATGATAGTATGCGCATGCGTAC